AAGTGTAAACAGATGGGAAATTTCAAAATTTCAGAATCAAAACTAGAAAAAAAGGACCAAATGGAAATGCTAGAAACAAAAAAATAGAATTTCAGAAATAAAGAATTCATCTGATGGACTTCAGAGAAAACTAGTTGCAGCAGAGAATGATAGTGAATTAAAGATAAATGAATGGAAATTAGATATACAGAAAAAAAGCAATGAGGGGGGAAAGAACAAAACACCTGAGCATTACGGGGCAATGCTAAATGATCTAACATACAACTAGATGAATTTTTACAGATAATAAGGTGATCAGTTATGCCAACAATTGGAGATATATGTCTGCAATACTAACCTCTGAAATCTGACTTAAATAGTCTAAGGAATTCTGTGGTGCTGAGAGAAATAAACATTGGTGTGCAGTTATTCTTAGGGTAACCCTCAAAACAACACTAAAATGTAGCTGCTGCCATTATTTGTATGTTACAGATGAGTGAACTGAGGCACAGAGAGGTGAAATCATTTGCCTAAGGTCACACAGCTGGGAAGTGTCACAGACAGGATTTGAACTCAAGCAGTCTGGCTCTTGGATCTAGGCTTCTAAGTGCTTGACGTCCAGGGCCAGGTCCTTCTTTGCTGTGACGGCTGTACTGTGCATTGTAGGGTGTTTGGCAGCATCCCTGGCCTCCACCCACTAGATGCAGAGCATCTGCCCCATCATAACAAGCAACAGTGTCTCTAAGACATTGCCCAGTGTCCTCGGTGGCAAGGGGTGGGTGGTAATGGAGGTGGAATCACCCCTGCCCCAGTTGAGAACCACTGCCCCAGACACATTAAGTGAAAAAGCAAGAAACTTGCAGAACAATACCTATGATGGATGGTGGAGAAAAGGAAGCTTGTGTAAATGTTCATCTACACAAGTGGAGTCTCAGCAAACAGACAACAGTTCCTTCCAGGGAGAAAGAGGAATGGCAAGGAAGGTGGGGAGATGCTCATGGCACGCTCCGGAAGTTTATTTTTTTAATTGTATATCGTATTACTGTTTAAGACTTTTAAGCTTTAAAAGAATCACAATTTTTTAAAAAAATGAGCAATAACAGCCATGTAGAAATTCATTTCCTCCTTCCCCTGCTTAAAACAAAAACAAAAGCAAAAACAAAAAAATCCCTAAGAACCTTCCTCTTAGGTCTGAACAAAATCAGTTCCTTTCTGCAACTCAGGAATGGGGAGAATGGTATTGTCCTCCCCATGGCTCCAACCTGTCTCTGGATCTTCTCTGAAATTCCAGCACCCCTGTAGGGGCAGAAAACTAGAACGCTGGGACGTTCTCTGGGCCCCTGAGTTGGTTAGGACAACAACAACAACAACAATAGTAATAATAGCAGCTGCCACTTTGGGAGGCCTGACCATGTGCTGGAGGGAATCATCCTATGCACTTTTTAGCCCACGATACCCTGGGAAGCAGTTCTGATATTATCGCCCATCTAACAGATGAAGAAACTGAGGCAGCCAGGGGCTAAGGAATTTGCTTAGGATCACAGAGCTGCTGAGTGGCAGAGCCCGGAGTCAAATTCAAGCTCTTGACCCTGAACCCTTAACCCTGTGGAATGCTTGATGGGCATCCTTGATTCTGCACAGGTTTCCTCTGAAGGAGACAGCCTGCTGGAAAAGCTTCCAGAAGCTGTGGAGTTCCTGGTGGTCTCCGAAGATGAGTCCCTTCTCGCTGCAGGTAGAGTTTGGATCTCATTGGGAGTCATGAGGCGGCAACTCTGGATTAGGTTGGAGGTGGAGAGGGGCTTGGGGAAAGGAAGAAGTGGGTCAGTAAACTTTTTCCGCCAAAAGCCTCATGGTAAGCATCATTGCCAGTCTCTGTTGCAACTACCCAACCCTGCGTTTGTGATGAGAAAGCCGTCACGGAAAGTATTTAAAGTGAGTATGGCTATGTGCCAATAAAACTTTCTTTGTGGATGCCGAATTTTAAATTTCGTATCATTTTTATGGGTTATGAAGTAGTAATCTTATTTTGAGTTCTTCCAAGCATTTGAAAATGTAAAAACTATTCTTAGCTCACCTATAAAGATTGGTGATCAGCCAACTTTTGCCCCTGGGGCTGTAGATTGCCAACCCCTGTTCTGCGTAAATCTCTTAACCTTTTGGGGCTTCTGGTCCGTTCCTTTGAAATGAGAGTAGTTATCCCTGCTGGATAGTCATAGGGATAGGGTGGGGCTCGGGGAGAGGATGGAGTACACTCAGCCCACACAAGCCCTGCTTTTAGGAGCTTCCAGGCTAGCAAGAAAGATGGGCAAATAGGTAGCCCCAAGAAAGAGTGGTTGGTACTATGACAAGATAAGAACCAGGAGCTATAGGAGCATGTGACAGGGTTCCCTTCCTTAGTCTGAAGCAATCAGGGAAGGCTACCTGGTGGAGGTGACCCACAGATGCTTCAAATCCTGATTTAAAAAAAAATTTAGAGGAGTTTTCGATTCACAGCCAAACTGAACAGATGGTACAGAGAGTTCGACATACCCCCTTGCTCCCACTCACACACAGCCACTCCCATTATCAACATCCCCTATCAGAGTGGTGCATTTGTCGTAATTTATGTATTTGCACTGGACACAGCATCCTCACTCAAAGTCCATAGTTTACGTTATGGCTCACTCCTGATGTTGTACATTCTGTGGGTTTGGACAAATGTCTAATGATACGTATCCATCATTATAGCATCATACAGATTACTTTCACTGCCCTTAATCAGTCTGATTTTTACAAGGCCACTTCCAGGGGCCAAAGACACTTTAGACTAGAACTGTCCAGTAATGCAAACTACAAACGTGAGCCATGTTCATTAGTGTGAATGTTCTCATGACCCCATTTTAAAAGGTAATAAGAAACAGTGGCATTTGTGTTAATAATACATCTTTTTTTTATCCTAACACCACTATGGCTTTTATATATACAGATAATTTGTCTATTTAATATCCATTTTCTTGTTTGAAATTTAAGCTCTTGCATCAGGAGTTTTGTTTATCCTCCTCACTGCCAAATTCCCAGCATCTAGAATAGTGTCTGATGTATAGGAGGACTAAGTAAAAAAAAAAATGTGTTTTAATGGAGGTACTGGGCATTGAACCCAGGACCTCGTGCATGCTAAGTATGCACTCAACCACTGAGCTATACATACCCCCCAACAATATATCTTCTTTAATCTAATAGGTCCCCAAACCCAACATGAAATCAGTATGAAAAATTTAATTATATATTTCACATTATTTTTTTTAATATTCTTGTGTGAAGTTTTTGATATCTGGCATGTATTTTATACTTACAGTTCATCTCAATTTGGACCAGCCACGTTAATAGCCACATATGGCTCACGGTGACCACATGGGAGAGTGCAGGTCCAGTAGAGTGCTTATGTTCCAAGATTGATGGATGATTGAGTAATTTATACCCTCTATCCTGTTTCTGAAAGAATTTCAGGTGGCTTAAGTACGTGTAAAATAGAGCAGCACAGAAAACAGGAAAAAAAGACAAATGACAATGAGGATAGAAGCACAAAATAGAATCAGGACTGAGACCAAAGGCATTAAGGATCTCAATGACCTAGAAACCTGTTACAGCTGGTTTTAAAGGGTGGCTCTTTCCATCAGCCAGTGAGAAAAAGGAGCCTCAGCAGTTTCCCCAACCAGTTTTGGGAACCAGCCTTTGCTTGGGAGCTGTACCTCGATCTTAACTTAGCTAAGATCAGGCAAGGATTTCACTGAAGTTTCATAAATAGAATTGCAGTTCAGGGGTCCCCAAGATCACTTTCAGGTTTGATGGTTTGTTAGGACTCGCATAACTCAGGAAAGCGGTCCCATTCACGGTTAACAAAATCAAGGTGATGGTAGGACTTGTTCCCTCCAACGTCTCCAGAGAGGTTTTTGGGGGTTTTTTTGCCTCTTCCAGCTCCTGCCAGGATTCCTTGGCTTGTGGCCACATCTTTCCAGTCTCTGCCTCCATCTTCACATTGCCTTCTCTGCTCTTTGTGTCTCTGTGGCCATTTTTTTAATGGCATGCAGTCCCTGACTTCATTGCCTTTATTACAATTGTAAATCACTTTCTTTTTCTCCCTCCCTACCTCCCTTCTTTCCATCTTCAAAATACATTGACTCTGTGTCCAGCTTTACGCTAGGTTCTGGGGGACCATGAGCAACCCAGAGAGGCAGAAACAGCCCTCTGGAAACTCACAGTCTTGTGATAATAAATAACTTGACTGTTTTCTGGGAGATCATTGATCACTGTTGCGCCTCCCTCCCCACCAAATGGAGGCTCTGTGAGGATGGGAACCTTGTCTATCTTATTCATCATTGTTTTCTTTCCACCTGCATATAGTAGGTGCTCCAAAAAAACTTTGTTGATGGGATTGCATTATTCTCAAGGAATAAAAGATATAATTCAAGTCCCTGCCATTTTAGGTTTTGGGAGATCCGTGCGGATATTCTTGGCAGACTCACAGGGGTTTCATCGATTCATGGCCACCGACCTTGAACATGAAGACACAGTGGAGACGGCTGTTTTTGGTCCTGAAAATAATCTGATTGTCACTGGGTCCCGGGATGCACTCATTCAGGTCAGGAGGAGATTCCCAGCCCATCAGCCTCACCTCCACCTCTGGAACAGAAAGTAGGAATCTTTAGGGATCTTCTGGCTTCAAAACACAGAATCCCCCAACAACTAGTGTAGGCAGAACAGGGCAGGTCATTGGGAGGATATTGGGGGAGGGATCCCCTGGGACCCAGAGACAGACCTGGGGGGAATTACCAAAATAGTCAACAAAGGAGAATTCCCACTGAACCTCAAAAACTGGGAGGATTTTGGCCTTTAGAGTGGAGCAGGGCTTGGGAGAGGGAAGGAAAATTTCTGTTAAGCTCAAAGTTCCTGAGGCTGGGGAGAAAAGCACGTGAAAAAGTAGCAGTTTTCCAACCTTCTAGTCTTAGGCCCTCTCTAGATTCTTGAAGATTATTGAAGACCCCAAGGAGCCTCTATTTATGGGGCCTATATCAATATGATTTGTATATTTTTAACAAATGATCTATTTTGGAATTGTTTTAGGATTTACACAGGCTTTGCAAGGAGAGCCCCGAGTTCCCACATATATATCCAGTCTTCACCCAGCTGCCCACCCCATTAACCTCTCACATCACCTCGATTCCATTATCAAAACCAAGAAATTACCATGGGGACAATATTAGTGACTCATCTACTGACTCAGATCTGATTTCACCAGTTTTCCCACAAATGTCCTCTTCCAGGATCCTGTATTGCATTTAGTCTCTACTGATAATTGCCATATAAAAAGTTTTAAATGACAAGACCTCAAAATATTTCTCCATTAATTCATGGAATATGACATGTCAACAGAATAACACACTTTTATGAAAACAGCTACATTGTCTGAAACCAACAAACAGAAACAGTGATAAGAGTGTCATCGTTGCACATTTTGGCAAATCTCTTTCTTGTCTGGCTTGAAAGAAGACAATTGGATTTTCATATTCAGTTCTGCACTCTCCTATCTGTTGTGATAACGTGTTCCATAGCTTCTGGAAAATGCCACTGCTCACTTGTGAGAGTAGAAAAGGCAAATGACTTCTTAAATTATTACAAAAGTAATTTTGCTTTTGTGGAACTCCCTGAAAACCCCATTTTGCAGAACCGCCTGGTGGGTACCCTCCAGGGATTCCCCAGAACACACTTTGAGAACTGCCATGGTAGCTGGATGGTGAGATGTGGGGAAGCTTGAGGGGGTAGGAGATGTGAAGGCCCTGGAACTGCAGCCTAAAAGATTACCTTAGGTGAACAGATGAGTTTAAGCCTATTTCCGGAAAAAGACAGCTCTGCCCCTCTGCTTCCATCCTCAGGTGTGGAGTCTGTCAGAGCAGGGGACTCTGCTAGACATCTTGGAAGGCGTTGGGGCCCCCGTGAGCCTGCTGGCTCAGGGTGGGGCCTTGGTGGCATCTGCTTCCCATCAGTCCTCATCTTTTAAAGTCTGGGATCTCACCTACACTCAGAAGCCGAGGGCCTCTACCCCATTTCTGGACCGCACGGGCCTCACTGCAGTGTCGCACAATGGAAGCTACATTTACTTCCCTAAAATTGGGGACAAAAACAAAGTCATCATTTGGGACCTGGCAGAAGGTTTGTAAGATCTAAGCACAGTCATTTGTATGGGTAGGAATTGAAGCCCCTCTCTTGGTCTGTTTGGACTGTTATAACAAGACACCATAGACAGAAGGTGGTGGGGAGATTAAACAAATGCACGTTTCTCATGGTTCTGGAGGCTGGAAAGTCTGAGATCAAGGTATTGGCAGATTGATGTCTGTGGAGAGCCCGCTTCCTGGTTTGCAGTTGGCCACTTTCTCCTTGTATCCACAAGTGTCAGAGGGCAGAGAAGGAAGCAAGCTCTCCTGTCTTCACTTACAAGGGCACTAATCCCATTCGTGGGGGCTCCACCCTCATGACCTAATCCCCTCCCAAAGGCCCCGCCTCCTAATACCATCACATTAAGAAGCAGGATTTCAACATGCCTTTTGGGGTAAGACACATTCAGTCTCTAACACCCCAACTCCGGTCAGGTTGAAAGTAGCCAATAGAAAATAAGACCATCTGATTTTATTAATTTCCCGCAGATGGTAACTGTCTGTCTGGTTGTCAATCCCTGTTTTAGCTGAGGCTCCCCTGGAGGCAGGGTCTGTGATGGAGATACCTGTACAAGTGGTATGTAGATGGAGCCCCCAGGAGAAACCCAAGAGGGAGTAAGAGAAGCAGACTGAGCAGGGGCAGGACTGTGCAAGGATGGAGGCTCATCCTGCTCCCATGAGGAACCCTGGAGCGTGAATTGTACCTCGAGATTGTCCCATCTTGAAGCGAGGGGGTCAGCCTTTTTAACTCCCATATCAGGCAGTCACCGGCCTGGTGCCATCCTGGGTGGTGGGCACGCCTCCATCCCCCAGGCATTTCCAAATGAGGTGCTTCCTTCACTCAGTGGCTGTGGGAAGCCTTAGATCTGGTAAAGCTGGGTGGATGAAGGTATAAAATTTCCTCATTAATGATAAAATAATATGAGAAAAGAAATTCACACTCAAGTTCATGCATCCAGGGATTTGGCAGACATTTGTTCAGTGCTAGCACCGGGCGGAGCTCTGGGAGTTGGCCGTGAGCAAGATGGAAGTGCCTGACTGCTAGTCCTGGGGCTAAGCAGGATCCTACGAAATAGAGCAATGTGGAGGCAATGAAGTAGGAGTCGCAAACCAGGGCCAGTGAGCCACATCTGGACACACACATTCATTTACATATTATTTGTGGCTGCTTGGGGGCTACAACAGCAGGGTCAAGTGGTTGTGGCAGAGAGCAGACAGCCTGCAAGACACAAATAATCGCCCTTCTGCCCTTTATAGAAGTCTGTATAGGAAGCGATTTGGAGGAGAGGTCATATGAAGCCATGAAGCCCACTGAAAGGCACATACATCTGTTCTGGGGGCAGTGAGAAGTCCTCCCAGGGTGTTAGGCCTGGCAATGAGATGCTGCAGTTTTCATTTTTTAAAGCTTGGATGATTGGAGGGCAGGAGGGGAAGCAGGGAAACTAACAGTCACCGAGTTGAAGAGTATGGGTGATGAAAGCATTTTTAAAAATCCTTAAAAACAGGAACCAGCCTTCCCATGATCTGTTCTTTTTTGGGGGGGAGGGGGAGGATAGGGAGGTAATTCAATTTACTTATTTGTTTGTTTATTTGTTTGTTTGTATTTTTTTAATGCAGGTACTGGGGATTGAACCCAGGACCCTGTGCACGCTAAGCATGTGCTCTACCTCTGAGTTACACCCTCCCCACCCTCCATGATCTGTTCTTGATGTGGTTTTCTCCCCATGACAGGTGAGGAGCAAGATGTCCTGGACACCTCCAATGAGGTCAGGTGCCTGGAGGTCGCGGAACAGGCCAATCTCCTTTTCACGGGCCTCGTTTCTGGGATCGTCCTGGTGTTCCCCCTGAATTCCAGACAGGATGTGATGTGCATCCCCCCTCCAGAGGCCCGGAAAGCCATCAACTGCATGGCCCTTAGTAAGGACGAAGGGCGCCTGGCCATCGCCTACGACAGCATGGTCCTGGTGCTGGACATCAGCCCTGGGGACCCCTGTCCGATCATTGACGGGCCAACATACACCTTCTATACCCAGCTGCCCGACACCATCGCCAGCGTGGCCGTTCTGGCTGACTACCGCGTGATCTACGGCATGACCAATGGGGACCTCTTCCTTTACGAGTGTGCGAATTCCAAGGTGTTCCCACTGGAGGCCCACGGGAGCCGAGTCACCTGCGTGGAGGTCAGCCACAAGGAGCAGCTAGCAGTCAGTGGGTCCGAAGAAGCCCTTCTGTGTCTCTGGGACCTGCAGGCGTGCAAGTGGAAATTCGAGATGAGCTACACGGTGCGTGGCCTGCCACACCACGTGCATGCTAGGCCCTGGCGTTAAGACACTGATGACAGGCATCATTTATTAAGTGCCCACCATGTCCCACTGACCACGGTCAGGACTAGGGTGAGTCAAATGAGAGGTCCTCACCTCCAGAGCAGAGTTTTAGGGGGTGCCAAAAAACTCGTCAATCCAGAGAAATCATATTTTAGCGTGATGTTTTAAAAAATCAAAATAAATCCGAAAAATCTATGAAGAACAAAACATCAACCTTTAAAATAAAGGCAAGGTCCAAATCCTTCCCTGGCACAGCCTTGCCTCACTCTCCTCACCCTAATCCTGACTGGCCATTCTTTCACCCAAAGGTTTGGATGGTCCAACTCATGCCAGGCTTCTTTCTAGTGCTGAGGAAGGAGCTATGAACAGGGTATCTCACATCTCGGAGCCATGTTCTAGTGGAGGAGACACTGAGCTCCGTGAAGGCAGGATTTTTGTGGGCTTTGTTCACTGAGATGGCCCAAGTCCCTAGGAGACTTGCCTGATAAATGTTTTGTGAAATAAAAACAAAGCAACAAATATATGATGAGTTGGGGTGCAACAAGTGTTTGAAGAAAAATAGCGTAAGACAGAGGGGGTAGAGAGTGGCAAGGGCTGCTATTTAAGAAGGCCAAGGAAGTCTGGTGGAACAGCATTGTAGGTAGAAGGAACAGCAGCTGTGAAGGTTCTGAGAAGGGAAACTGGTGACTCCTTTGCATACTAAGAGTTTGCACTATTCATCTCTTAAGGAGTTATTATAATTCTTGTATCATTGTGATTAAGAGCTATATTGTATGTTTACATACTCACACTATATATTATGAAAAATAAACATATTAAAATATCATTCTACAATTTAATCCTCACAACAGTCTTGTAAAATTGATGCTATTATTCCAGTTTCTCAGATGCAAAACAAAGATCAGCATTTTAGATTGCAAGATATAAAAATTGTTAATAAACTAAGGGAGACAATCTTGTAACTAAGTGAACAGAATATGTGTAGTTTGATCTTAAAAAGCCTTCATCCCACCTGACTTACTCTTTTTTATGAAGCCACTATAAAACTGAGAGGTAATTAATCGTTTGCCTTTTTGAGATGAGAACTGTCACCACAGCAGTTAAATACATAGCTTAAAAAAAAACTTAACTTTGGAACAATATTAGATTTACAGAAAAATTGCAAAGATAGTACAAAGTTTTCCACCTACTCGCCACTCACCAGGTCCCCCGATGTTAACATCTTAGACTAGATATACTAACTGGAGTACATCTGCTAAAACTAAGAACGTAACATGGGAACACTATTGTTCACTATCAATTTTATTGGGATTGTACGCTTTTCAATGAATTAACTTCTTCTGCCTAGGATCTAATCTAGGATCCCAAATTGCATTTAGCATCTAGCTTTTCATTAAACACAATTGGAGCTAATACTTGTATAACCGAGCTCACTGGTGAAATTAAATCCCGTAATTCCCACTCTCCAATGCAAAATGTCACTAACTCGCTCAATCCAATCTCTCTGACGATATGTTTTGGTCCTGGGAATATCAGTGCTACCCATCTCTCAAGATTTTAACTTGATCCATCTCCCCGAGGGGTGCTTACAAGTCTGGCTTCCTACACACACGCCTTGGGGCTGGACTCCTGGGAGTCTTTCGGTCTGAAATCAAGCTCACGTTGCCTTTTTCAACAGAATTCTTACTGCAGAGGAGTCCAATGTGCTTGCTTCTCCAAGGATGATAAGTATGTCTATGCAGGCTTGAAGGATCGCTCCATAATCGTCTGGAGTGTGCTGGATGGTGAGTCTTTTTGCTTTGAGGGTAGGACTGAGCTTAGATCTGACAATGAAGGGCCCTGTTCTGGGTCCTGGCTGTTACAGGGCCCTGCTCTGTCCTCCCCTAGCTGGGTCCCTCCTCTTAGGGAGGTATCTGCAGTCCCAGGAACAGGCCCAATTGGAGCTATACTTCCTCTTCTAGACCCATGCTCTGGGTACGCAGAACTCCAGAACACCCTCCCCATCTGGCTCAGAGTCCTCTTTCAGGTGTGTAGGCCTCTTCCCCAGATCTATCCTTCTGAAAGTGGGCTGTGTCCACAGTGTGCACACCCCCAAGCTCAGAGGGTGGCCAAAGAGTAGTGTGCATGGAGTCTGGATGTGTGAGCTGGGTGGGGGTTCACATGTATGTATCTGAAGTCCCTAGGGGTGTAGGATGGAGCTGGATGTGAAAGAGAAGGGGCAAGCTACAAACAGCTGGGGGCTGGCTATCCCTCACCATTACATTCTGGTGTGTAACCGAGGAGCCCAAGAATCCTCAGCCCAAACCTGGTAACAAAGGTGCCTGGCTAAAAGTCACAGATGGCTAAGAAGGTGAGGTCTGTGAATTGTGGCCGAGAAGCCCATCCTGGGCAGGTTCACAACCTCTCTTCCTACTCCTCCTCCAATAAGAATGATATTTACTCAGTTCGCTCTAGGCTGAAACTGATACTTAGCACCTGACATGCATGACATCTTCAGAATTCCCCTCAGCAGGGAGGTTAAGTTATCATTCCCATGTTGCAGATGGAGCAAGAGGGACTCTGAGAGGTTGGATATCATGCCTAAGCTAGTAAGGGGCATAGCAGGGATTTGGCCCCATGCAGCTAACTCTTGAATATGCGAGATTAGATATCTGCGGCCCCCTTTTTATCGTTTGTGCCTTCCCCTCCTCCCCCTCCCTCCACAGGCGCACTGCTGGCGGTCCAGTTTGTCCATGCCGTGGTGAACAGAATCATCTCAACCTCCAATGGCTTCATTGCCCCCAGCAGACACGGCTATCTCATCCGTGAACGCTTCCAGTGCCCTTCATCAAGAATCTCACAACAGGACCCTCTCAAGAACTTCAAGAAGGCAGTGTGGATGGTCAAATCCAGGCAGAGAGAAGAGCTGGCAGCTGCTGCAGGAGCACTCCAGGACTCGAGATCAGGGAGTGCCCAGGGAAACGAATCCAAATCAAACAAACGCTCACAAGTCTGCCTGCTAGTGTAGAAACCCCCCATGGGCTCCAGTGAGGTTCACCCCATTCGATCTGGCTGAAGAAAAGGGAATGAATGTGTTGATGTATATCTGGACCCAAAGCCTCCAATTATGTGACCCAGACCTTGCTTCCCACCATCATTCCAGTCTTCTCTCCTCCTTGTCAGCTCCATTCACAGACCTTCCATCCCCAGGTTAACAACATGACAGCCAAGTTCAGTAGAAAAGAGAGTTTCCCTTACCCAACAGTTTGAACCAAAGTCCTGGCTCTGAGTCTGTTAGCTCCAGTTGGCTTATACACCCATCCTGGAACACAAAGCTATCTCTGGGGAGAATGCAATACTCTGATT